ATCAGTACGTAGTTGCGTACTGCCTGGCTGGTAGACACGCTCACACAGCGTGAGCGTGTCTACCAGCCAGGCAGTACACAACTATGCAGTATAGAGGAGTGGAGCGGGATGGAATCCCTGGGGCCAGACTCACCCATGCGCCCCGCCGGGACCATGTGTGGGACGGGCAGCACTCCGGGATCTGTGTGCGCCTAGGCCAGCCCCGCTCCCTGCTGGCCAGTTCCCCCCCTCCTGCTCCCACCCCAGCCAGCCCCACTCCCCCAACCTCCTTCTGGCCAGCTCTGCTTCCTGCTGGCCAGGCCCTGCCCTCGGCTAGCCCCGCTCCCCCCCACCGCCCCCTGACTGTGTCCGGTATTTTTTTTTTTAAACCATCTGGTAACAGTATCCTGAACTGTATATTTAAACTAAAGGAAGACTATGTGTAGGTGAGGCCTAAGGTTTTGTTTTTCTGTCCATCGTGCAGTAACTTACATGTAGCTATGCTTAGATTTCAGTCATAAAACTGTCTCAAATCAGTTCAGTGAATGGACAGAACTCCTGTAGTTGTACAACAAATGTTTGTTGCTAAAAAAAACAAATGTTTCAAATCATACACTGAGTGGAGTAATGAGAGATGCCTTAATTTAACAGGTGTTCATGTGTAGTTCATTCTGCTGTTGAACACTAGGGCAGCACAGCTTGCTGTTTTCTAGGGTAGCACCTTTCAAGACAGACATCAGTGTCATGAAAGGGACACTTCTCATGAGCCTTTTGGAAATATGAACAGAGACTTTACGAGGGCGTGATTGTTTAGGTTCTTGTAAACACACACACAAAGTTAAATAAACTTGTAAAGCCACAAGTTCAAGAGGCCCTGGAAGCAAAGCTATTTCTCAAGCATGTGAGGGCTAACATTTATCCTTTTTTGCAGAAAATGTGTCTGATTTCAGTAAAATAATTGCTCTTTATTCCATTTTACCTTTGGTCACATGCAAAGAAGCAAGACCTTTGTTAAAAACCTCTCTTAAAGAACCAATTCACACCAGCTAAATTTGGGTACTTTCTTCCCCAAATGCATATCATTGATATGAATGGATCTTCTGGAGACTTGTAATAAAATGGAAAAATAGTACATATGTGAGAGGAGTTTATCCTCTGCAATGCTGAAATTAATAAAGTCTTAGGCCAGCAATGTTTATATTTTTACATCCCATCTCTGTCCTACTCATACCTGCCACCCGGTAGCCTGCCTCTTTTGGAGGAAAAAGGTATACCTTCCCACCAAAATCCTGGCTCTTTCATTGCGATGTATTTGGCCTTGCTGTGGACTACCTAAGATTTGGTTCTTATACTAAGACATCTAGAAAGTTCACCGGTGGTCTCCAGGCATCATCAAATAAAGTTGTCCATTTCAGTTTTCTTTCTTGCCAAGTTTTTTTTCTCTGGGAACATTTGCTACGTGCTTTCTGTGCTTTTGAAAAGGGACAGTCTCAAACCGCTCCAGACTGACTAGGCAGGCCCTTTAAAGATATCCAACAGTTATCTGTGTCTCTTGAAATAATGCCTTACTAGTACAGTCTGGCCCTTGGGTTGGTCAGTCAGCGATGATCCCAGTGTGCCACCTGCATGCCACATTTCATACGTGCTAATTCAGATTCCTTTCTGAGTGCAAAGTTAATATATCCTTAGGTATGGCTTTTGTCCTGAGTTTCTCAGATATCTGCCATAATAGAGATTTTAGGTTTGTTGGTTTTGTTTTCTGTTTTTTTTTTTTAAACCTCATTTTAACACATCCATCAAGAGATACCCTTAGGTTTTTCTGGCCTAAGTCTTACAAAAGATTTAGTATTGTATATAACTTGTACATGGGAGCTATTCTTCTACTGCAAAGGGCATTAACTTTTTTTTAAAGGAAGAAGAAAACTGTGTTACTTTACAGAGATTGCTTTTTAGTAAAGGAGACAGAGAATGGTATTCAAAACATTTAGGAATATCGTGGAATAATTTCTACAGACATGTGGTTGATTAACAAAGATGGTCTCTAATACAGGTTTCTCTGTGGATTTTAGTTCTGTGTTTTCCCAGTAGGAGGCCTTGGCATATTGTATGTTTTATACTAAAACAATAAGTAGATGAGAACTTTAGAATGCATGTGCTTAGAGCCAGGGCCTGGGTATTCCTGTATATTGGAAAATTTACTGCACATGTGGTGTGCTATTGGTTTCTGAATAATAAATAATTGCACCCTGCATTGAAAGGGATGAATTAAAGAAATTGCAAACGTATGCTGTCAACAGCACTGTTGACAGCTTTCCCTTCAATCTCTTAGCATTACAAGAAACACCTATGATTATTACAATTGAAAGAGATTAGTCTCTAGTGCTTGTTTGTTTGCTTTACATAAATTTGACAGCACTCTGTGAATAATTATGTACACTGTTGCCTTTGTATAGTCAGTCAGTCAGTTTCCCGTTAGACTGAGTCTTAGAAGCAGTGAAAGGGGAGCAAGAAATCATTTTATTATAAAAGGAAGCCAATTGTAAAACCACAAATATTAGCAGTGGGACTCAGAGGAACATGTGAAGTGTCTCCAAACTGCTATTAGCTCTGAGAGGTCCAGGTGGGAGTGCCCCCTTTAAAAAGAACTTGGGTTTTATAAAGACTCTCAGCTACCGAGGCAGCGAGGACTGTAAAATACCTGAGAATAGAGACAGAAAAAGGAACCTGTGTGGATTATTAAATATCCAAAATAGTGAAAGGGGGTTAACCTTTTAGCTGGAGTGCTTCACTGCACCTGTGTGCTGATGTCAGCCTCTGACATCAATTAAATGTTCAGGCTTGCCTAGTGCAGTCACTTTCTGCAGGTGCGTGCTGCCTGAGTGTACTGGGAACATTCAGCATCAGTTAATACAGTTAAAGTAGGGCAGTAGACTGAGGTGTGGTAAAATCACTATTCCAGGCAGTGTGAGTGAGGAGCTAACCAGTGCCACTCATTCTTATGATATTACTGCAGGCCTTGTACTAGGGGTGTAATAGTGTAGTCAATTAACCTGTAATCTTTTGCTTATGGGTTAACACATAGACTACATGCATTTCCCACCCCCTTGCCAGTGTATTTTTTTAACAGGCTGTCCAGCAGCCCAGCTCAGTCCTGGCTCTCACTGGGTCTGGGACCTACCCCTGCTGCAGCTCTGCATTTCAAATGTATTAGGAACCAACTGGGCAGGCAGCCCCAACTCAGTTCTGGCTCGTGCCAGGTCCAGGAGCTCAGCCCCATCCCTGGACAAGGTCTGTTATCATCCCGTGCTGCTGCCTCTTTATCAGAGGCAGCAGCACGGGGTGACAGGCAGCCGGTCCATGAGGGAATCTGGCTGTTAAACTGGCTCCCTTCGTGTACCAGATCCCACCTGGCACCCCGTGTTGCTGCCTCTGATACAGAGGTAGCAGTGTGGAGTAGCAGGGGGCTCCTCGGGAATGGGGCCAGAGTGCAATGGCTGCCTGTTCCACCCCCAGGGACTATAGAATAGTCGAGTAACAAATAAGAATTCATGAGGTTAATCGACTATTCAATTAACCAATATTTAACATCCCTACCTTGTACGAAAGCTTCAGAGGGGTAGCCGAGTTAGTCTGTAACTGGAAAAACTTTAAAAACACCGAATAGTCTAGTAACACCTTAAAGACTAACAAAACATGTAGAATTATAGCTGGTATCATGAGCTTTCATTTGACTTAGGGGTTTATCATAATTGTCATTTGTAGTTAAGAGTGAATTTCACTTTGAGGGTTTAATAATCTATCATGTATCATTGACCATTCTGATTATTATTTCAATGCCATTGAGGTGCAAAAGCATCTGTTGGTATTTCTTTCCTGGATGTTGTTTAAAGATTTTCCTTTTATTCTGTTTGCTTCAGTTGTTTTTTGAATGCCAGGGAATTAGGCTGAATGTTCTAGCCATAGGCATACCAACAGGATAGACGGTTATGAGACCAGAGTTCTCTGAGTGCCAAACGCCAGCCTGGCTGATTTAGGAGTCATTGTAGAAATAAGCGCTAGTGTCTCCTTATTTCAAGCTGTGTTTTTTGGGGTTCTTTTAAAACTACCTTGATTCAACATATGTTGAAAGGACAAGGGGAAATTTTAATTGCTTTGAAGAACATTAAGTGAGAGAAATCTGTTGCGATTGAGGAAATTTAAACTAAGACAAAGTGAATTATGCTGGAATAGACTTCGTTGCAGGACAATGTGGGCTGAATCTAAAACAATCACTGCTTCAAATTTATCAAAAGTAGATTATTCAGCTAGTCATTCTTACTAATAATAAATAGTGTTAAGCTTCAAGTACAGTAGTAGGGGAAAATGACACATGTCTGTTGTACAAGGGGAATATTATGGCCTGTTGAAGAATAGTTTTTAAGTTGGAGAGGGGGTACTTCGCAAATCAGGGTTTTCTCTGAACAGAGGTGGTTTGGTAATGGCATTTTCATTTGAGTGGGCTTCAGTTTGGCTTCTGTGTTGCCTGTGCACATCTTCAATCTGTCTTTTGCTGATAGCAGTGTAGTTTGCAGCAAACATTTTTACTTTTTCAATAGTATCTTCCTTTCAGGGATCAGAAAGCAGATTAACCAGTGAAACTATATGTTTAACCAGTTAACATTTTAAACAGGATTTTACATCGCTGCCCAGGTAATTAAATGTGGCAAATACACAGTGGAAGACCCTAACAGAAATGGGGAAAGGGGTTGATTCCTCTTTTGCTGCTTCATGATGTAAAAAGAAATGGATTTTCCCCTCCACTCTCAGAAATATCAAATCTTGTTTTACCTGTTTTGTTGGAAAACTGTAGTAGGAGTTTTCTCTGCCCTTGGTTTATGTGGCAAAATTGATGAATCTTTCATAATGAACTATTAATCTGAGTGGGTGTTAGGAACTGAGAATTAAATAGGTGATGATATAAACAAAAATCAATTATTTTTTAGTAGTCTGACTAAAATCCCTTCTCCTTTTTGCTTGCTTAGGTTTCAGTCTCTTGTGATGTCATAATCCTACTAGTTCTCCAGGCTGCCCAGACTCTTCACACAGAAGCAGGTAAATCAAATTGTAATGATCCAGGTTCCTCAGGTGGTGCCAGCATAACTACAGTGTGGCCAATGGAACTATCCCAGTTTGCCTCAGCTTTTCTGTAGCAATGACCTTTTCCTGTGATTTTAATTTTGTCCTACTTGGGGAATAATCTACAATGAGAAGATTGATGTGGGACTCTCAGTTGGTTTGGCTTTGCCACATTTTATATTTTGAGTGAGGCAAGCTTGAGAGTCTCAATAATGAAATACTTAATGCTAGCACCAAACTGAGTTCCATCTAGAACCAGCTCTTCTAAGCCCTCAGATGCAACTCTGCTCTTAAATTGGGAAAGAGGGATTTTAATCTGGGGCAAATGGAAAAAATAAAGGCCAATAGGGCAAGCAATCTCTACGGATACTCTCCAAGTGGATTTTGGGACACATTACACCACGCTGTTGGTTGGTGCACCTGCATCCGCTGCTCCAGATGAGGACCCATTCCACAAGAGTTCAGGCTTCAACCATGGCCATCTTCCACAGTGTGTTGCTTCAAGACCTGTAGAGTGGCCACATGGAATTCAGTATGTACCTTTGCTACACACTACTCTGTGGTGCAGTCGTCTACCACAGATGCCTCATTCGGTGCAGTGGTCCTCCACTCAACCACGCCATCCTCACCCTCGCACGTTCCTCTGACTTGGGTGCTGCTTATTAATCACCCTCAGTGAAATACAAGAGGGACCATCACTCAAAGAAGAGGAGATTATTTATCTGGACCTGGAGGTTACTATTACTCCAGACGCATGGTGTGCATGCATAAACCCTCAATGCAATAGAACTAGGGACAATTCTTCTTCACACCGTGTACCACTAACCTTTGTAACTCATAGCCTTGGAATGTGGTGATGACAACATATAACTGGGGTCAGACAAGAACTAGATAAGTTCATGGAGGATGAGTCCATAAATGGTTATTATTGAAGATAGGGATGCAATCCCATTCTTGTGATGACTCTAAACTGGCCTGCTTGAAGACCGGGGTGGATCACCTAACTGTCCTATTCTGTATACCACCCCTGATGCTCTGATAGCCCTGATCTACATTAGGGAGTTATTTCAAAATTACTCCCCTCCCCATTTTGAAATAATAAGTGGAGTGTACACACTTCTAAGCCCTACATTATTTTGAAATAATAACTCCTGCTTTTCTGGAGGAATAACTGTTATTTTGAAATAGCAGAAGTGTGGACGCTCCACTTTGGTTAAGTAAACAGTCAATTAGCTGTCCGTACTCCTGGGTCTTCAGTCAATCATACACTATTACTATTTTTTCTGAGCGTATGAGTCTGCCACAGGAGCTAAAAGTTTTTATTAGAAAAAAACACAAGCTGTTTGGCAACAGTATACTTTAATTTCTCTCATACATACACACACGTGCACACACACACACACATGCACACACATATTACTATAAATCTAGCAAAGTTCTTTCCAAAGGTAAGTTAAGTATCCCCTCTTTTTAACAAATGGAAAAATAAATCCTAAACAGTTAAGGTCTAAATTTTCAAAATAGGCATCAAACTTTGGGTGCCGAACATTCAACCCCTTTTCTCCTGAAGTTATATATCCAAGATTAGAGATTACACTGAGAATTTGCACCTACCGTATATACTCGAGTATAAGCCGAGTTTTTCAGCACAGTTTTTGTGCTGAAAAATGCCCCCCTTGGCTTATACTCGAGTCAGCATCTCGAGAACTGAGGCGGGCAAAGCCTCAGAGGCGCGGGACCCCCCCGCGGCTGCGGCTTCAGTCCGGGAGCCTGTGGTCTGCTGGGGACCGTCCCCCGCAGACCACACGCACCCCGATTTAAACAGCAGCTTTGCTCTGGCAAAGCCTCAGAAGCGCGGGAACCCGCCCGGTGCCCCTGGTCTGCTGGAGACGGTCTCCAGCAGACCAGGGGCACCGGAGCAGCTTTCGCCCCGACTTCCGGGGCTAGACCCAGTATCTATCTTCATTTTTTACATTTACCAGTAGCTGCCTCATTTCCTACCCTAGGCTTATACTCGAGTCAATACTTTTTCCCAGTTTTTTGGGGTAAAATTAGGTGCCTCGGCTTATATTCGGGTCGACTTATACTCGAGTATATACGGTACTTGATTTGTACAAGGTCACACTCTGAGTCAAAGGCTCAGTTTGGAACTGAACCTAGCTCTCCTAACATCCATCATCATGCTAATCCTCGTGGTCTACTCTGTTTGATGCTAAGATCCACACAGGATAGAATCGGGTTGTACTTACTCTTTGGGACTTCGGTGTATGTTCCCCAAAGCTTTAATTAGGCTCTGGTCTTAGCTACCAGACAGCATTCTATAACCTAGAACCAGCTACTATTTTGGGAATGGTAAGGAAGAGGCATTAAATGGGGTTTGTCTAGTGGACATGGGTTAATTATTGTTAACCTATGTTGCTGAAATGTCTGGACTCAGGGAATTGTAGGGTTTGCTCTCTGTTGTTTTTAATGGTTTCTCTAGATAAGATCTTTTAAAGGCTTGATCCTGCAAAATGCTGCAGATGCTGCCCTCAATTCAGTCATCAGACTGCTTAAGTGTATACTTTAATTTTTAAAAGTGCTTATTGTTTTAGGTCTTGATGTTGCAGTGCTAAGTAACAGATTTTTCTGTTTAAAAATGAAGAGTTAAGAAAACCACTAGGTGGCGCCTGAAAGTTGTGTAATCAGACATTGCACAACCTTCTGGAGCTTTAATAAATCCAGAAGGGGCTTCTGCAGCTCATTGTGGTTAAAAGAGGCAGAATGCTTTTGCAAATACAGGTTGGGGCGGTAGTAGGGGGCCTGAAATGACCTCCTTTGGTCCAGAAAAATCCCTCATCTGGGACCAGTCAGGTCCTGAGAATGCCAGACCAGGAAGGTCCAAACCTGTATTTTACACACATACAAAAAGAAGTACCGTATTTTCCGGCGTATAAGACGACTTTTGATGCTAAAAAACATCCCCCAAAAATCGGGCGTCGTCTTATACGCCGGGTATACAGGCGGCGGGGCAGCCCAGGCGCGCCTGGGATGCCCC